GTCTTGTCAGGATATGTCCAAGATATTTAAACTTCTGTCTCATCACCAATCCTTCCAAGGAGCAATCTGGTTGGATTACTGATTTGTTTGTTCTTATTTTTACCCATGGAACTCTCAACAACTTCCTCCAACACCAGAGTTTGAATACATCTATTCTTTTGGATTCGGCTTTACTAAAAGTCCAGCTCTCACATCCATAGATCACTACTGGAAACATCATGGTTTTGACCATGTACACCTTTGTGGACAGTGTGATGTGTAGCACTTGTTTAGAGGTATATGCAGTGCCAATGGATAATTACCAAGATAATGAGTAATTTGGGCTAGTATCAGAAGATTAAGTACGACTCTTAGAGCTCTGGTACATGAATGGCAGAGAAACCAGACAAACACAGTTGTGTGGCTTAAAAGTACTTTAGTGATGTGAAGCCTTTTAAAGGATTTTGTAACCAACACTAAATTACAACAGGTTTTAACTGAACTTCAAACATAAAATTTAACATAAAGTAGCAAAGAAATAAAATAAAATAAATTTGTGCACAAGTAAAAGAATTAGTCCTTTTCTTTTAAAGTCCATGACAACGGGTGATTTGCAATAGAGTCCATCAAATGAGAAGGGTGTGTGTGATTGTCTGTCCTACCGCATTACACTCTTAAAAAAAAGGGTTCCTCGAGGTTCTATATAGAACCCTGGGGTTCAGTACTTGGCCAATAGAACCTTTTACCAAAAAAATGGTTCTATGTAGAACCCTTGCATAGCAAAGAACCTTTTTTTTATTAAAATGTTTCTATAATTCATGTTTTATGACTGAATTAGTGTAAACTAAAGATTACACAACACATTCACAAAGCTTTTTGAGTCAAGACCCATGAGAATGACTGCTGTAGTCAAAAACAAGAGTAAACAAATATTAATGAGCTGTACATTAGCATGAAACTTATATTTCCTAATATATTATAGTTTAACTTTTTGACAAATCATTTTGTAAAGAAAAAGAATCATTTCCTTTATTTTGTATACCATATTGTGATGGTTTTAATCTATCGAAGGGAACATTAAAAACAAATAATCGTAAAAATGCTCCCTGGTGGCGTACATGCATTGCGTCATCTTTGAATTCCTATTGGTGGATTGGTGAAGATGAACCTCGAGACAAGTGACAGTTAATTTTTCAAACTGAAGAGTCCCGAGTCTGCCATTTGTACCCGTTCAAACCCTCAGGTAAGTTAAATTTTACATTTATGAAATGATTTTGCTGAAATATTTAGTATTACATGTAATATTTATATTGGTTAGAGTAGCCCTAGTGTTAAATACTGATACTAGAAGCACACTTTACCTCAGTTAAAACACTGCTGTCGTGTAACATTAGTACTGACGGGCTTCGTCGGCCGTCGGTTTAGAAAGCCCTGTTATGATTTTTCTCCGGTTTTTAAATGAATTAAGATACAGTATCCCTTTATTTCCTTGTTAATGTTAATGAAATTGTCAACTACAATAAGATAGCTGTGTTATAAGGAGACGAGCTTCGAGTTGGAAGCGTGAATTTTAATTTCAATGAAGCGCGCGCTCGTTGTTCAAATAAACGGCGCCGATTCAAATAGAAGTGAACCCGGTGGAAGACGGAGGTGAATCATATGTGAATGTGTGTCGCAGTTTCACACATACTCAGTTTGCGGTGAGTATTTTTCCCAGGCCTATGTTAAAAGGTTTAGAAGTTCTTAACTTTGGCACGCGAGATCTATTTTCGTGCAGTTTTTAGCTCCAACCCAGAACAGACGAAGATAATGATTAGCTTGTTCAGGTGTGTTTTATAAGGGTTGGAGCTAAACGCAGCAGGAAAGTGGACACTGCTACAGTTAAGAACTTCCGGCCGGTCTGCATTGAAAACTCAACTGTGCATGTGCACAGTTGCAGTGCAGCGTTCGTCTGTTTACTTTGACGCATGTGCTGGATTAAAGTGATGATAGCACATGGTTTAATTTAGCATTCAAATGTTCTAAAGCCAAAACATGTTTAGGTGTGTTTAATGCATAGTTGGTTTGTGAAGTGTTATTTATGCTCTGTTTTCTTTTATCCCCAGATAACCATGGTTGATAAATGGTCAGTAGATGACACATGCCACTGGTTTCAAACTATAAACCTCATTGATGCAAAAGAAAGTTTCAGAGGTACAAATGAAAATTTATAAATGTTCATTTTGTGATGTTGTGAAGTTTCAACTCACAAAGTCTCTAACTCACCTGCAAGTGCAACATAACCACCAAGCAGATTTTAGTGTTACCTGTGACATTGAGGGATGTTTTAGAAGATATAAAACTGTTGCAAGTTACAGAAACCATATCTATCAAAAGCACAGACAAGCTTTGCAACATCCCCTATTTGAAAAGGCTACTGTAGTTGAAGAAGACAATGAAAGTGAAGAGGAGCTTCCTGAAGATGATCTGCTAGAGAACAACCAAAATTCTTTGCCTGGAATTGATTCTATTGGGACTGAGACAGCATGTAGCCCTCTTTATATTAAATCTTCAAGAAAAACATTTACTTCCTAAAGCAACTCAGGATACCATTGTTTCCAGCTTGGAGTTCATCTTGAAATTTTTCCAACAAAATTATTTTGAAATCATAAAATTCCACCAAATCTGGATTTAGACTAGAGGAACAGGAAGACTTGGATAACTAGCTAAATAATCAGACACTTATTGAAAGTGTGTTTGCCTATGTTCAGTCAGATTATCAACTTTTCAAATATTGCAAAGAACATCTACATTTAGTGGAGCCAGTTAAACACATTCTTGGAACCAATAGCCAGGGGAAGGAGGACACATTTCAGTATGTGCCTATCATTGATGTTCTGAAGACTCAGTTGGAGAAACATGACATATTTGAATCATATCGAAGAACCTGTGAACAAGTCCCAAGTACAGATTTTTTAAGCAGTTACACAGATGGAGAATTCTTTCATGAGAGCCCCTTTTTTGGAGATCCTAATAGTGTAAGATTACATCTGTACACTGATGAATATGAAGTGGTAAACCCCTTGGGGTCTAAAAGATCAGTTCACAAATTAGCAGCTTTCTATTTTATGATTGGCAATCTTGAATCTAACTGTAAATCACAATTGAGGCATATACATTTGTGCTTACTTGTAAGAAATCAATTTATAAAGAAGTATTCATACAGCGACATCTTGCTGCCCCTGATTAATGACCTGAAACTGTTGTACACTGAAGGACTGCAGGTCAGTGTAAATGGTCAGAACATCAATTTGAAATGCGCTCTTGCCACTATTTCAGCTGATAACTTGTCTGCTCACAGCCTGGCAGGTTTCACCTGCTGTTTTAGCAGTGGACGGATCTGTCGCTTTTGTATGATCAGCTACAAAGACCTAAGGTCTCACATCTGCAAGCACTCAGGGAAAGTACTGGAATATCCAAACAGACATATGGTGTGGTCAGTGAGTGCCCTTTCACTGAGCTGAACTACTTTGATGTGACAAAAAACTTTCCCCCTGACTTAATGCACGATTTTCTGGAGGGTGTGGCTTGTGATTACCAGAGTTATCCAGGCATTACATTTTTTGCACATTGTCTCATTAAGTCAGATAAATGCTGAATTGGATGCATTTAAGATAGGGAGGAATGAACGGGCTAACCTCCCTCAGAAACTTCCAGATTGTGTTCTAAAGAAAAACACACTCTCAGGGTCTGCTGTTCAGGTCTGGTGCCTCTTCAGGATTTTGCCATTTCTCATTGGACATTACATTCCAGAAGGTGAGGTGCACTGGGACATTTACCTGAAGTGTAGGGATATAGGAGATGTGATTTTGTCCCCCACCATACAAAGGAAAAGCATCCCTTTTCTAAGCCTTCAGATAGGTGAATTCCTGTCCTCCTTCCAGTCTGTATTCCCTGAGACTTTCACTCCGAAACTACACTTTCTCATTCATTATACACAACTGATATTAAAGTTTGGGCCACTGAAACAGCTGTGGTGCATGAGATTCGAGGGAAAGCACCAATACTTCAAGCGATTAGCCCACAACACGTGTAACTTCAAGAATCTCAGCTACACTCTTGCCAAGAGGCACCAGTTAAGGCAGTGCTGGGAACTGACTTCGCTGGATTCCCTGCGTCAGGACAACTACACGGAGGGTGAACGTGTAGTACCTTTTCGAGCATTACCACTGGAGATACAGAAAGGTGTGATTGGAAAAAGTGAGGCAGAGGATGTTCAGGGTGATGAGAGGCTTGGTGTGTGTAGCTCTCTTATGACCAACAACGTGAAATACTGTGTGGGAGACAACTTAATTATAGATCTTGTGGAGGAGGACATTCCAATCTTTATGAAGATTGTGAAGATTTTGCAGTTCAGGGGTGCTTGGATGATCTTTGGCAAGCTGCGGATACCAATAACATTTGAAAGACATTACCATGCTTTCAAATTGGAGGACCAGAAGGAGTGGATTCTGGTGCAGCCAGGGGAGGAGAAAGAATTTCATCCTCTTGACACATATGTGCATGATGATACTAAGTATATTACATTATACCACAGAGTGCAGTCTTCTAGGTAAATATATTGTACTTCTGTGGCATGTCTCTCTCTTATTTATTATTTCTTCTTTAGAATATGAAATATTTGGTATTTTTTTACAGAGCAGCAAATTGATGGGGAGACTCTGCTGGGTCTCACAGAAAGGATGGTGGAAAGACTTTTTCCTGTAATGAAACAACAGGTGACATTTATGAAGGAGCTTAGTAAGTTAAAAAAGTAAGTCTGTGTTGTTAAATATTAAACATTGTTGTTAAATATAAAACAAACAAATGCTAACCAAGCTTAAAATCCTTATCCTAATTTATATTTTTATATTTCTTTAAACAGCCTGGAAACTGAAGTGCCTTAAATATCTTGTACTCAGTATGTATCATTGTTTTGAAGTTTAAACAAACTGTATTGTGGCAAGTAAAATAAAATCCTGTATAAAAGATTTAAACATTGTATTTATATTTACGGACAAGAACCCTGTGAGAATGAGGGCTCATTTGTTGCCCAACCTTGGCCAGCAGTATACAACCTGCCTGTCTTTCCCCCTGAATTGCAAGCAGCTTTGCAGAGGAAGGATCCCGGCTTTATGAAGAAGGACAAGTCTCACATCCGTGCATTACTGATTCAAGTGTTGTTTGACAGCATCACTAAGCACACCTGGTACAGTATTGTATTTCATTGTATTTTATAACAGTTAAATGTATTTTATGTTAAACTTGTTGGTTGTTGGGTACTGAAATAATATATTTGATTATATTTCTTAGGTACCCAAATCATAAAATGTATGGAGATGTTCTGGGGAGTTTGATCACCCGCTTTCCATTTCTGAAGGATGGCAGCTCCTCTGGTTATGTATGAACATATTGCAGTTCTTTTAATATTGTGAAAATATTGAGATCATTGCTCATAAAAAAATCTCACACAGAAAAAAATCTATTTTAAAAGAAAGTATACATGTGTCTACAGGATACCTTGTTGGAATGCCTTAGAAACAAATTTAAAAAAGAAAGGATTCCCTTGGTTAGCTCATCGATCGTCCTGCAAATGAAGGAGAAGTATGGGATTAAAAGGAAGTGTGCTGGACAAACAGATTCTGAGGGACTTACTCAACAACAAGAGGCAAGTTCAGTTCAATAAATTTGATGTCAAAGGCAGATTAAATTTGTCTTAACATGTAACACATGTTGACAATTATTTCAGAGTGCAAAATGTAGAAGAGAACCATTGGATATAATGGCATATAAAGATTCTGCTTGTTCACAGGAGGTATTTGGTTTGGTGTTCCTTAAGTGATAATTCAGTTTTTAAGATTGATGTTTCAATCTTAAATATTTTATTCTGTGACTTTGATTCATATTTACGTACTGCACAATACTGTCTTCCTACCTCAGACTGTATTGGACCTGGAAGTAATGGGTGAGGATGAGACGAGTTTCCGGGAACACATTAATGCCATCACCCTGGAGTTGCGTAAAAGCAATCCCAGTTACTCTGAGGTCAAGAACCGGATGAAGCGCACTCTTTTCAAAAGAGTACAGCTTATGGACAGGCCTGCAGCTGAAGTAATGGAGCAGTTTCCTTTTCTTGGAGTGCCACAGCTTGTGAGTAAACATTGTTACATTTTGTGCCAGGCAGATAAGAAAAATCAGTGTAATTATATTTCTGTGAATTCCTATAGCTCATTTGTTAGAGCAATGTGTTAGCAATACAAAAGGGTATCCCAAGGAACACATACTGATAAATGTATAGATTGAACGCAATGCAAGTCCCTTTAGATAAAAGCGTCTGCCAAATATGAAGTATTTTTCATTACTTTATCACACCCACTATTTTTCTTATTGAACTTATTATTCTGTCCCGGAAAAACATCACTATATGGTAGTCAGTTGCAACCTCCAGTTCATGCTGACTTTAAGGTACTTGTTTGGCTGAAAGTGTGTAATTTGGATATAAGCACCTGAAGTAATTGTACTGGTTTGTATTTAAGATGCTGCATGAAATGACAATGAGGTTTGGAACAGACTTGGCAAAGAACATGGAAACATCTCTGAATGAAATGGCCCCAAACATCATCAGGAGTGCAAAAGAAGGAAGTCAAAAAAAACTCTACGCCAATCTCATTGGACCAGCAGAGGAAATCACAGAAGGTAACAACACCATATATTTTTCCCCATCCAACCTATCTGTTCCATACGGAGCCCAGGAAGTCACCTGTGTGAGAAATAAAACAACAATAATCCATGGCGACGGTTTTGCAATCTGTCCGCTCAGTTTATAAACCGTACTCACGAATTCTCAAACTGTTCCCCACAGTTTAACAAATCGTGCCCACGGATTAATAAACCGTACCCATGAATTTCTAATCCGCGCCTTCAGTTTTTGCAATGTGAGTACGGTTTATAAACTGAGCGGACAGATTGCAAAACCGTCGCCATGGATTGTTGTTTTTTTTTCTCACACAGGTGACTTCCTGGGCTCTGTAGTTCCATGCCCAGTGTAAAGTTGCATTGTATGCAGTGTCAATTAGAGATGCACCGATTGATCGGCTGGTGACCGGAATTGGCTGATTTTCACGTGATCGGCCATGACCGGCGACCGGCCGGTCAGTCTGACATATGCCGATTTTATGCCGATCAAATGCACTCGGGCGCCGCATGATTAACATCACGCAACACCAGCATCACACATGCACATGGAGTGCACATGTAGGAAACCTCGTGAATTACGGCCGTTTCACACCGCAAATGTCAGCGGCGCGTGAGCAGCGCGTTTTTTTTTTTTTCGAGATCAGGAGCGTCACGTGAGCAGCAGTGAAGCGCGGGTTTCGGCACGGGTCTATTTTTGCTGCTGCTCACGCTCAATTAAAGTGAAAGCACACTTTTGATAGACAAACTAAAAATGATTTCATACAAAAAGTGCTCAAAATGCACAGAATAAGAATGTCTAGTGTGTTTTAGAACTCCAGTAGGCTATGTCAGAAAAGAAAACGAAGACTCAAAAATATTTGTAGAAGATTTACCCATTTAACTTGTTTTCATTATTCAGTTTTGGTTGCAAGTATGGTTATGATTATAAAAAATAAAGTTAAACTAGCCAGAAATTATAGAAATATAGAAATATCTTTATACTGCAAGGATGCTGTGTATTTCCCACACCAGGAGTAATTTATATAGTTCTATTTTATAGTGCTTTTCTGTTAAAAAAATTATCTATGTTCTATGCAAAATGTTCTATTAAAGAAAAGATAGAAAATAAATATTTGTGTGTGCTGTAAAGTGGTTAGAAAAAATGAAATCGGAATTGGCAGGTCAAACTCAATGAAAAATTGGAAATAGGAATCGGCTAAGAAAATTTTAATCGGTGCATCTCTAGTGTCAATGTAAAGGTTGTAGCTACTATAAATTGAATGAGTGATTAAAATAATGCAAATATTAAAGGAATAGTTTACCCCAAAATAAAAACAGGGAGGTCTCCAGCTCGTTTCACCACCACATAGACGGTCTGCTCCCATTTGTCAGCGAGTTTGTGCTTTCCTCGAATGCGTATGTTCCTGACCAGTACTCGGTCCCCGATGTCCAAGGTAGATGTGGCTACATGCTTGTCAAATCTGGTTTTGTTCCTTTCGGCTACCTTTGCAGCACTCCGTGTAGCTATTTTATAGCTCTCCTCAAGATGGGATTTGAGGTCCTTAACATATTGGGAGTATGACTTGGTTTGTTGTTCTCTCACAGGTAACCCGAAAGCTAAGTCAACAGGCAACCGTGGCTGACGCCAGAACATCAGCTCATATGGTGTGAATCCAGTCACCTCGTTCTTGGTACAGTTGTACGCATGAACTAAAGGCTTTACAAAATCCTTCCAATGCAACTTATCTTTGTTCTCCAGAGTTCCAAGCATACTTAAGAGTGTTCGGTTAAAATGCTCCACCGGGTTGCCCCTGGGGTGGTACGGGGTAGTCAGAATCTTCTGTATGCCTGCTACTTCACACAACCATTTGATAAGCTGAGACTCAAAATCAGGCCCTTGATCGCTGTGTAATTTTTCGGGAATGCCATAGTGTACTATGAAATGGTCCCACAGACACTTTGCGACAGTCTGAGCTTTTTGGTTCGATGTTGGGATAGCCACTGCATATTTAGTAAAATGGTCTGTGATGACAAGAACATCTTTCACATTACTGCTGTCTAGTTCAATGGATAGGAAATCCATACAGACTAGCTCAAGGGCTCTTGTCGTCATGATATTCACCAAAGGTGCAGCCTTCTCAGGTAATGTTTTCCTGCGCACACACCTGTTGCAAGTCTTTATCTTTTTCTCCACATCTGAGGACATTCTCGGCCAGTAGAACCTGGCTCTGACCAGATCGAGTGTGCGTTCTATTCCCATATGACCCATGTTGTCATGCAGGCTTGTCAACACAGACTCTCGCAGGTCTTCAGGTAAGACCAACTGGTAATGTTTATTACCTCCTTCTTGGCGTGCTCTGTAGAGAATGTCATCGCGCAGTTTGAACCTGTTCAACTCTCTCAGCAACAGCGCTACTTCTGGAAGTTCTTTCCTCAATGCGGGAGGAGGTTTCTCCCCACTCTCCATCTGGGTGATAATGTATCTGATGCACCGATCAGATCTCTGACTGTCTCTGAGATCTGCCTGTGAGAGGTGAGGAATGATGTCTAGGCCTCCTAATGTCTCCTCCTGCTCCAAGCTGTCGGCACAGCATCTCCAGAAATGGCAAGACTTTCAACAAGGGATATACCTGCATCATCACCCAAAGCTGCCGAGGGGGTCAAATGATAAACAAACTGTCTCTCACAGATAGCATGAACAACTTCTTGATCAATGAAGTCAGTATTATCTGGATCTGACAGATGTCGCTTTGCGAACTGGCATATCCGGTCTCTCTCTTTTTGAGATGTAAGGTCATCAGGTAGCTTGCCATGAGGACGACGTGAGAGTCCATCGGCATCTCCATTCTGTTTCCCAGAGTGATACTGGAGTCTGAAATTGAAGGTAGAGAGGGCCACCAACCACCTGTAGCTGGTTGCATCGAGTTTTGCTGAGGTGAGGATGTAGGTCAGAGGGTTTGAGTCTGTGACAACAGTAAACTGGTTGCCATAGAGGTAGTCACTCAGCTTCTCTGTTACAGCCCACTTTAACCCTTAGGAGTCGGCGGACCCGCCGGCGGGGACACTTGCATTTTTTTCTGGTAACCGTGAAAAGAACTTAAACTGCGTCGTCATGTTTGATCATACACGTAAGTGTAGTACATCATTTTAATCTGTAAATGGTCTACTTTTATTCATGTATACTCACAATATCCACAAAACATTGTGCTTTTGTAAAATAAAGAAAATAAACAG